AGTCATTATCTTTAGGTCTTTTCCTGTTTTTGTTGGTTCCTAATTTCATAGAGAAGAGTGTTTCTGACGCGCCTGTGTGGGTCAGTCGGTTTAGCGTCTGACTTCAGCTGAGGTCGTCATGAGTTTGAGCCCCGCATCAGGCTCTGCTGTCAGCACATAGCCTGCTTCGGATCCTCTGTCCTCCTCTCTCTCTGCCCTTCCCCTGCTTGTGCTCTTCTCTCAAATATACTTAAAACGATTTTTGTTTTTAAAACATAGGTGAGTGTTCCTGAGAAAGAAGTCTTCCAGGGAAGAGTCAGGTCCTGAAAGATAAAGGTCTGGATGCCACCTCTGTGGGAATCAAGTGGGAGGAAACATTTCGTATGCATGATATTGAACCATTCATCCATGCTTGGTGAACCCCAGACAAAAATCTTCTGTTCTATCCAAAGAATAAAAGTCTAGAACCTTGTGCCAGGGTAGGGAAGAACCTGTCATCATCAACATGGAGGGAGACAATAGTTCTAGGATCTCCCAACCTCATTTTAGCTCCCCCATCCCCTGTTCCAGAGATATCTGCACCTCCTGGTTTCTGAGCCTTTTGAAGATTCTACGGCATAATCAGGAAGTTTCTCTTAGCTTGTTCCATCACTATTTTAGTTTGGCTGTCTCAGATCCACCGAGGTAGTTACTCATCCATTTGCTCTTCAGCTTACAAAATCTTGTTGCTTTTTTTCTTGTTCTTCCTTTCCTTGTGTGTAGGAACCTTACCATTGTTTATGGGGGTTTTAGAAAGGAGTGAAGTTAGTTGTGTGTGATTAATCTACCGACTGAATCCCTACCAGGCTATTAATTTCTAGATAGTAATTTTGTACTTGGACACTTTACTAATTCTCTTGCTATTTGTTGTAGTTGTTCATTTGAGCTTCTTTATCCTATCTGATTACATTTTTATACCTCCAGAATCATAGCACACCTTTATTTTGTTTCTGATCTCAAATAGGAATGCTTATAGCAGATACTCACTAAACATGAGTTGGCTTTCGAGTTGAGATTCTTTTTATGTAAATATATAAATATTTTTATAGTAAGACCTGTTCTGTGACAATATAAGTCCACAAAGATGCAGTAGGACATGTTCTAGGACTAATTAATGATTAACAACGGTTTTTGTGGGGCGCCTGGGTGGCTTGGTCGGTTGAGCATCCAACTTTGACTCAGGTCATGATCTTGTGGTTCACAAGTTCGAGCCCCACGTCAGGCTCTGTATGACAGCTCAGAGCCTGGATCCTGCTTCAGATTCTGTCTCCCTCTCTCTTTGCCCCTCCTATTCTCATGCTTTGTCTCTCTCTCTCTCAAAAATAAATAAACATTAAAAAAAAAAATTCTTAACCGTTTTTGTAACCTATGTCCTAATTATCTTTTATAGAGCCTACAGAATATAGATGGCCAAAAAAATGAAACTTTGAAACCATAATTTTTTTTTATGGTGTGATTTTTTTCCCTAAGATTTTATTTTTAAGTAATTTCTTTTTTTTTTTTTTTAATTTTTTTTAACGTTTATTTATTTTTGAGACAGAGAGAGACACAGCATGAACGGGGGAGGGGCAGAGAGAGAGGGAAACACAGAATTGGAAGCAGGCTCCAGGCTCCCAGCTGTCAGCACAGAGCCTGATGCGGGGCTCGAACTCACGGAGTGTGAGATCGTGACCTGAGCTGAAGTGGGACGCTTAACCGACTGAGCCACCCAGGCGCCCCGATTTTTAAGTAATTTCTGTACCCACCATTGGGCTCAGACTCACAACCTTGAGATCAAGAGTCGCATGCTCTAGTGACAGCTAGCTAAGCACCCTAATAATTAATTATTTTTAAATACTTTACTGTTGATTTTAATTTTTGTAGATTCATAGAGCAAGTTAGTTTACCTTTCTTATATGTGCTAATCTTGTCATATTAACATCTCAACGTTTCTATTTTAGCTTTAAACCACTGACAGATTCTTTGTAATGTAAATTTTGTGTAATTGTATGTAAACATTGAAAATTGAATGGCTATTAAATCACTCAACTGATAAGAATATAACAAAAACTTTTGCAACTTTTAAAAAGCATATTTTAAAAACTGACCATGTATGCTTAAAAATGGTTAAAATGGCAAGTTTTATGTTATATATATTTTGCCACAAATTTTTAATTTCCTTCAGGAAATAAAAACAACTGAGATGTCACTAAAGGTAAATACAAAAGGGCAAAACACTCTTTTCTTTGTTTTAATAAGTCTTATCTGTACCCCTAATTAAATACCCTGTTAATTTTACAAAGTTGTTACCAATTACCTAGAGATAGTCTGCATTTAACATTCTTATTTGGTCTGCAGCCTAACTGTTTTGCATGGTGGTGTTAAAATCTTTTATCAAATTTCTCTGTGCAGATTTTCCTTCCTTTCCTTTTCCATTACTTGAGATTATATTAATTTTCATTGTATCAAAATGAAAATATGTTAAACATTGGTTATCAGTTGTAGATATTAAGATACCAAAGGAGACTAGCTAAATGTTTAAGATTAGACACTTGTTGAAATCCCAGGATGTAAGCAAATTATTTGCCTGAATACCTTCTCATAGGAGAGGGATTTAACTTTTTTTACTTTCTTTAATATGATCCAGTCAGACGCCAGGGACTTACATGTCCAGTTATCTGAATAAAAACCTTGGAATTGTATATTATCCCCATTTACAGTTTATAGTTTAGAAAACTTAATTAATGAGGTGAAGTAATTTGCTCAGTGCCACACAACTAATCGCTAAAGTGTAACTTTTTCTGTTTGTGGATATTATAGAAGTAGTCAAAACTTTTCTGTAGTCTTCTGTTTCTGAAATTAAAGTATTTGGTCAAATTATATGCACAGTGAGTTTTAGCAGTAGTTTAACTTTTTTATAATCTGTGATTTGAGAGTAGATGAATACTTAAATCTTTTTTCAGAGATGGAGGACTGCAGTGAGCAAAGCATGAAGAATGGTCTTTCTTTTATTTTCCTTGAAAAGATTAAGACATGTCACCAGAGGATACTGTGGCGTCAGCAATAGCCCTTTTCCAGAAGTTGTTCTTCTCTGTTGTAGGTTTATTCAAATATAGATAGAAAGGACTAAGAGAATTCATGTATAACAGCTCTTATATGTCATAATTCAGTTTAGGCTAAATTATTGCCTCTTTCCTTTGAAAATCAACCATGTAACCAGTTTACTGGATGAATGTTAATCATGATCCCAACTTTTGTGGTTTTTATAACCCTTTTAAAGTGGTCTCTTAGATTTGTTATCTTTTCTTTAAAATAGACTTTCTGAATGTTGATTTTGTTTTAATAAATTCATCTTAATAAAAGATAAGTAATTTCTAAAAATTGTTTTATACATTAATTGCATATAATATACTGGCTATGAAATCGATTCTAGAGTCAGATTTCTTAGATTTCAATCCTAACTCTATCCTTTGGACATTTGAACAGGCTATGCTGATTACGTATCTTCTGAGTCTTCATTTCCTAATGGGTAAAATGGGAAAAAGAATAGTTTCACTTCACTTTTATAAGCATTAATTGAGTTAATATTTAAAGATATAACACATACTAAGAATAAACTTTACTTATTGCATGACTTTATTATCAATTAAAATTAGTTGGGAAAATTTTTGAATAGAAATGTTATGTAGCATATTTCAGTATGAGTTGTTTAAAATGGAATGAAGACTGCCATATGAAATGAGTTTTCTTAATAATTTAATACCCATACAGTTCCCACGTTCTTTATTCTTGGAATTCTAAGAACATTGAGGCTGTCGTATATAAACTTACCTCAGCTTTTCATTTTTTTTTTTTTTCAACGTTTTTTTATTTATTTTTGGGACAGAGAGAGACAGAGCATGAACGGGGGAGGGGCAGAGAGAGAGGGAGACACAGAATCAGAAACAGGCTCCAGGCTCTGAGCCATCAGCCCAGAGCCTGACGCGGGGCTCGAACTCACGGACTGCGAGATCGTGACCTGGCTGAAGTCGGACGCTTAACCGACTGCGCCACCCAGGCGCCCCCCTCAGCTTTTCATTTATCATTTCTATGTACTTACAAATATTCCAGTTATACTTAGCTTTTCCTTGTCTTTCAGATAGAGTTGATTTTTTTACTCATAATCAGTTTCATTACCACCTGTGCACATATCTCCTGTCTACTTTTAAGGTCCTTGCTTCATCGGTTATTTACTTTTCCAGATTCTTCAATTATGTCTGTCTGCTGGATCCTTTCCTTCGTCATACCCTAGTGCAGAGTAGGTTCACGGAAGTATTTGTTGAATATTAATGAATGCTAAGAATTTGAGGCCTAGAGTTAGGGCCTGGGGTTTAAGTTCCACTCAGTCTTACCTAGAACAATTTAGTTGGTTTTCCTTTCCTGATTTGTAAAGTAGATTAAGTTATACCTATATTATGGAGCTGTTTTCAGAATTTTACATGAAAAACCCGTAGCATAATGTCTGGCAATTTCTGGACGAGGATAAGGAAGATTTAATCAAAGTTATGTTAGAAGCGGAGAATTTGAAAAACAGTGACAAAGACGCTAGAGCAATAAGGATTAGATGATAGTCACTTATTTTAGTAGACAAAAGTATAGTATAGTGATTGTATTTGGATCCTGGGTGATTGGTGTTTGATAAATGATTTTGTTACTATTTCCTATTTCAAAAGAAGACTTAGTTTTTTTTTCATTGTAAAGGGTAAGTTAAATTGAGTACTATGAGTGCATTTTTTAAGGACTACTACAAATTGGATGATTAATTTCCATCAAACTCTGAGGTAGGCATTAAATGGTTAATGAGAGAGGAAAAACAAAATGAGTAACAATATTTTCCCTGAGGGTTGGATAAAACTCACCAGAATTTAAAATTTCATTTGTGCTGTTTCATTGCAATAAAACACAATGATCATAATATACTAGAACTTTTGTTATTTATTTTCCTCTGTTACAGGTTCTTTGGCATGGATAAATGTTCAGTGAGAGGATTAGACTTGGCTGAACAGACTCCTGTTTTATTAAAGAGTAAAGCCATGGCAGCTAGCCTCATGGATGTTGGAAATTCATTTGGTGGCCCAACTAGTTCTTTAGTTAATAGATCTAGAAACTCATCAGTGGAAGATGATGATGATGATGATGATGATGATGATGATGATGATGATGTTGTATTTATTGAATCTATACAACCTCCTTCAACTTCTGCTCCAACAGTAACTGATCAAAGAAATTTTATATTTGCTTCATCAAGAAATGAAAGTCTACAAGGAAATTATTCCATAATTCTTCCTTCCTCAAGAGATTCAGCTTCTCAGAAGGGAAATATAAGTGAGACAATTATTATCGATGATGAAGAGGACATAGAAACAAATGGACAAGACAAGAAAAATTCTTCCAATTATATTGAATGGGGACTTCCTGGAACTAAAAATAGAACCAAAGATTTGGATTTCTCCACTTCCAGTCTTTCAAGAAGTAAGGTAAATGCAGGAATGGGTAATAATGTTATCACTACAGAATCGACTCTGAAATTCCTATTGCTAATGTTACAACCTTAGAAACAGGTATAAGCTCTGAATGCTGGGCGAGATATGAACTTAATGATTACACGTATAACATCACTGTAGAATACCAACTTGGGAGATGTCGCTAAAGGACTTCAGTCAAGTAATTTTGGTGTTAATATACAAACATACGCCCCATCTTTGACTTCACAGACCAAGACTGCAGTAGGACCTTTTAATCCTGGTAGAATGAATGTGGCAGGAGGTGAATTTCAGAATGGAGGATTTACAACTCATCATAGTCCTGGTAAGCAGTAAGTGATTTTATTGATCTTCTATACATGAAATACTTTTTTTTCTTGACTTTCATATTAAGATAGAATATTTTACTTGCAATCTACTTGGTCCCTGATTTTTCAGAAATTAAATCTGTTTTACCCACTGCGATTTACATCTGAAGTGTTTTAATTGAAAACCTCCATAATTACTACAACCACCTACCTAGTTTCTTTTTTTTTTTTTTTAATTTTTTTTTAACATTCATTTTTGAGAGAGACAGACTGAGCATGAGCGGGGGAGGGGCAGAGAGAGAGGGAGACACAGAATCCAAAGCTGGCTCCAGGCTCTGAGCTGTCAGCACAGAGCCTGACGTGGGGCCTGAACCCATGAACCACGAAATCATGACCTGAGCCGAAGTCAGCCGCTGAACTGACTGAGCCATCCACGTGCCCCTAGTTTTAAATCATAGAATAAAAAAGTGGATAGTGAATTGAAGAAATAAAGTAATATGTAATAATTTAATTTTATTTAAAATTTTTTTTTTTTTCTCAACGTTTATTTATTTTTATATATAATATTTGGGACAGAGAGAGACAGAGCATGAACGGGGGAGGGGCAGAGAGAGAGGGAGACACAGAATCGGAAGCAGGCTCCAGGCTCCGAGCCATCAGCCCAGAGCCCGACGCGGGGCTCGAACTCACGGACCGCGAGATCGTGACCCGGCTGAAGTCGGACGCTTAACCGACTGCGCCACCCAGGCGCCCCAATAATTTAATTTTATTTAACTTATAATAACATAACTTGAAATTTCAATTTTTGCATTTCAAATGTTTACTTTTGGACTGCTTGTCTCTTTATTTTTGTTTTAAAATCAGCATATTATTAGTTCCTTTATTTTAAAAGTTATTTTAAAAACCCTATATAGTTTTTTAATTTTTTTGTCTATTTATTTATTTATTTATTTTTGAGAGAGAGAGCAGGTGAGCATGTGGGAGAAGGGTGGGGTGGGGGGCGGGCGGAGAGAATCTTAAGCAGGCTCCACAATCAGCACAAAGCCCAGTGCAGGGCTCATACCCATGACCCTGAGATCATGACCTGAGTTGAAATCAAGAGTTGGACACTCAACCCACAGAGCCACTGAGGCACGTATAGAGGCCTACATTTTTAAAGCTTATATGGACAGTCTTTTTCTGATAAAGTTAAAATATAATGAAAATTATTTAAAACTTAGCAGATCTTTTTGGCAGCTTTGTCATGATTTAGTGTGGTGTTTGTTTGAGAGTTAAAATTTTTGTTTTGGTATTGGTTTTTGGTCATTTTAGTGCTTTAAGCTATTGACCAACTTAGAAGTTTAGGAAAGGACTGAAAAGGAACTAGATTTAAGAGCCTCATTACTGCTTCTAATGGAATGCCAGAATTTTTTTTCTTTTTTTAAATTAATCTTTTTCTCTGGTTATGAGAATACTACATGATTATTACAGAATATTTGTAAGAAATTATGGCTAGAAATAAAGTATATTTCACCTTATCCTACCAGCTAGCAAGGACTACTCCTAAAATTTTGTTTTCAGTCTTTTGCCTCCATGGTTTTAAAAAATATAATTTAGAGCACATTATATATAATTTTGTGTTTCTGTTGGTTTACTTAATCTAAATTTTCACATCATTTTAAAAATAGAATTTTCCATGTGTATAAGATTTTTGTCTGAGATAACACATTCCTCTACCTTTTTATTAGCATTTGTATAGTATCCCATTTTTTACTGTTGAAACTGTCCACTAAATTTCTTTGTCTACATCGTTTATTATTTCTACAGGACAGTTCTCAAACATTTTGGGCTCAGTTTCACTCTCAAAAATAATCGGGGGCCCCCAAGATTTTTTAATTTATATCAATTATGTTATTAGAAATTAAAGTGTAAGACATTTTCTTAAGTATTTAACAATAATTACATATTATATGACAAAATATAATTTTTAATGAAAACTATTTTCAAAATTTAGTGAACAGTGCCATTTTTTCACATTTCTGCAAATCTCTTTAAAGTCTGGCTTAATAGAAGATAGTGAAGTGTATGGTATCTCCTCACATCTATCTATTTCTACATTGAATCTGTTGCAATATCTTGTTTTGTTTGAAGTATAAAAAAATCTGGCCTCACATAGGTATTTGGTTGTAGGAGGGAGTACTGTTTTAGTGATCTTTTTAGAGAATTATGGATAGTTACGGGTTTTTTGATAACAGTCCCGAAACTTGATAAGTGGCAGTTTCTTAGAGGTTCTTAACAATGTGGAATCTGAAATCATATAACGAAGTTTTCATACTTATTACATTAAGATTCATTGATCTGTGGATGGATCTTTTACCTTTGTATGATTCGGTTACATTGTGCTTTGGTCAAATAAAAAATATATATATTTTGAAAATATCCATTCATTGAACTTCTAGATGCTGATGTGTTATTTTTTTTTTTTTTTAATTTTTTTTTTTCAACGTTTATTTATTTTTGGGACAGAGAGAGACAGAGCATGAACGGGGGAGGGGCAGAGAGAGAGGGAGACACAGAATTGGAAACAGGTTCCAGGCTCGGAGCCATCAGCCCAGAGCCCGCCAGCTCGAACTCACGGACTGACCACAGATCGCGGATCTGGCTGAAGTCGGAGGCTTAACCGACTGCGCCACCCAGGCGCCCCTGATGTGTTATTTTAAATGTTGACACTTTAGAAAGCTGTCAAGGTGACAGTGGTGGATACAGGTTTTCAAAGATGTTGATTTTCACTTGAAAGCTCAAATTTTCTCTTAGCAACAAATACTGTCATTTTTCTTGAAGTGAATTTTTCTTGATTTGTTTTCAAGAAAATGTCAGTAATCAGTTTGTTAGTTATTCTTTTAAGTAAAAATGGTATTTCGTGAAAAAAGCCTGGTTTAGCTTGCAATGTAACTATTTTATAAGTGCTTTTCCTCTTTGCCTTCAGACAACCATTGTATTTTGGTATGAAACATAAGTGTTTTAGGCATGCTTCCCTGTTCATCACACAGAATATTAAGATGTAGTCAAAGGCTGAAATCTAGTAAAATCGATACCAATTTTTATTATTTCATTGTGGACATCTGTTTAATAAATAATAACACTGGCCTTTGTCCTTAGGTCTTAGGACAGAGACTAAGTCCTTGGAATTTCCCAAGTATTGGGATTGTCTTTTCTATTTACGAGCCCTTTGGATCACATCTGAATTTGTTTGGGCTAAGACTTTGATCAGAGGAAGGCTGAGAGAGGGTCATCAGAAGGACCCATTAAAGACCCAGCCTCGGGGCGCCTGGGTGGCGCAGTCGCTTGAGCGTCCGACTTCAGCCAGGTCACGATCTCGCGGTCCGTGAGTTCGAGCCCCGCGTCAGGCTCTGGGCTGATGGCTCGGAGCCTGGAGGCTGTTTCCGATTCTGTGTCTCCCTCTCTCTCTGCCCCTCCCCCGTTCATGCTCTGTCTCTCTCTGTCCCCAAAATAAATAAATGTTGAAAAAAAAAATTAAAAAAAAAAAAAAAGACCCAGCCTCTAGGGAGGAGAGGAAGGCTAGACATTGAGTTCAGTCACATGCAGTGAATAAGTCTGTCAGTCATACCTATGCAATGAAACACCAGTAAAAGCTAGACACTGAAACTCAATGCAGCTTCCTGGTTGTTGAGCTTATCAATGTGCCAGGTAGGTAACACACCTGCTCCAGAGAGAGTAGGCACAGAAGCTCTGCATTTGGGACCTTCCAAACTTTTACCCTTCTTTATCTCATTTGATTGGTCCTGATTTGTATCCTTTATATTAAAACTGTGATTGTGGGGCACCTGGGTGGCTTAATCCGTTAAGCCTCTGACTCTGGATTTCAGCCTAGGTCATGATCTCACTGTTTGTGGGTTTGAGCCCTGCATTGGGCTCTACGCTGACAGCACAGAGCCTGCCTGGGATTCTCTCTCTCTCTCTCTCTCTCTCTCTCTCTCTCTTTCTCAAAAATAAATAAAACTTGGGGGAAAAAAAACTGTGATTGTAAGTATAGAGCTCATCTGAGTTCTATGAGTCATTCTAGCAAATTATCAAAGCCGAGAGGATAACTAAATCGGGAACCTCCTTGATTTATAGCCAGTTGGGCAGAAGTATGGGTGGCATCTGAAATGACTGGCAATCTTGTTGGGGGCTATGCCATTTAAACCTTTGGGGTCTGATGCTAACTCCTGGTTAGTATTAGAATTGTATTGACCATTTGGTGTTGGAATAACAACCATAAATAAGTGAAGGTGATACTTTTTCTTTTCTCAGATATATGGTAGTGAAGAAATACAGTTCAGTTCCACTGCCAGCAGTTATACCCATCGCTGCTTTTGTTACCATTATTGTAAATGCCAACAGTGAAAAATGCAAATAATCTTATTATTATTATGGAAATAGTTTGGCCTCACAGATCCCCTATTATTTCTTTTTCTAATACAGTGTTGGATAGCATTGGTGAGAGTATAGAGCCTTGCTTTGTTCTTGACCTGGGGTTAGGGTAGGGGGGCATTTGACGTTTCATCATTATTAGTTCTTGTCAGATATAATTATCTTTTTTATGTTTATATAATCATTTGTTATTTGAAGTTGTTTCTAGTCTTTGCAATTGTAAACAGGTTTTTCATGAATATCTCTGTAAGTTGACACACTTCTTTAGAAAAGTTTCTGTAGGTGGAATTGTTAAGTCAAAGTGTCAACATATTTTTATTTTTCATTTAGTTTAATAATTTTAGTTGGTTTTTTTTGAGAGAGAAAGAGAGCACATGTATGGGGGAGGGGCCAAAGTGGGAGAGAGAATCTTAAGCAGGTTCCTTTCCCAGCATGGAGCCCACAACCTCAGATTATCACCTGAGCTGAAGTCAAGTGTCAGACGATTAACTGACTGAGCCACCCAGGTGCCTCCTCATCAATGTATTTTTAAAGGTTTTGATGGTTAATGAAAAATTGCCCCCACCAAAAAATGGTATTACTTTCCTTGCAGCATAAATTTTTT